TCGTTAAAAAAAAAAAAAAAAAAAAAAAATCTAATTACATTTGAGGAATGAGTTTTTTTTTGGACCTTTTTTTTATAGAATTTTTTTTATTTTTTCCGATTGTCAATTCTCGTAGATGCTGCACCGTGCTGGCAGCGTGCCCGACTTCCGTTTGCATTCGTCATAAGGCCGGACGGGTATGCAAGCCTGTTTTATTTTTCGAAGATGCTTTGATTGCTCGTCGACGAATCAGCTGCTGGATATTTTTTAAATTTCTTCGCTGCCAGGGAAATAACTGTTCGTTCGATCGAACGCCGATCCCCGTGTGGAATTCGCAAATCAGGTGCCGGTTCGGAATTTCAGGCGTCGACTAACCGGTAAATCGGAGAAATTGCAAAACCGGAAGTACAGCTTTTTTTATTTTTTTTTGCAGTAGAAAATACGTATGTAAAATTTATTTACACGAGAATTCAATATTTCAGCATTTCATTCCATTAACGAATTTCCCATAACTTCCACTGACCGAAATTTGAAAAAATAAATACTACGCGCGAGCTACGTAAATCTTCGGAGGAACATCGATTCTAATTAATGTATAAAAAATTTGAAAAAAAAAAAAGAATCCTGCAGCATGATAATCAACCGACTAAAAAGTGGGCTACTCAAAAATGTTCTCAAGATTTTACCAGCAACGAATTTAGAAGGGGGAACAACAATGGTATTACGTAAATGCGAGCTGACATTTGCAAGTTAAAGCCAAGGACCTTGGGGGGAAACTCCTTTTACGGGTTTGAAAGAGGGTTACTCGGAGGGGATGGAAGTAAACCTCTTTCTGTTTCTTAAACGCCTTTTCCACGCCTCGCGGGGTTCGCCATTGGAATCAATAAGAAAGTCAAACGATCTTATTATATTACTTGCAGTCGTCAACCACGAATTAAAATTTAAATCATTCGTCTCCTTCGGAATTACATTAACGATCCTTCGTGGAGCAGCATTCTCAAAATTTACCAACGAAAAGTCAAAAGTACAGCCTACGGATGTAAATAGGACAAAATACGATCAAGTTTCAAGAACAGTGCACGCGGATCTAGATCTAAAGAGATCCAACGATAATAACCAATCGGTATCTACTAAATCCCGTGCTGATAGCGAATGAATGCGAATAAAAAAAAAAAATCCACGTCATCCGTTGCCTCGAAAAATAAGTAAATTTCCATGGCGTTCCGTTTTTTCCGCATATCCGCATTTCCAATTAAAAGAAACTATAAGTCCATTTTTTGTTCAACGTTCGTACATAAAATCCAGCGAGTTAGGTAATTCTTCTTGCAAACCCACAAACCTGCATTCCGTAGCTGCATTCGTAAATTCGTTTTTGGCGAGATAGCAGCGGCCAGCGTTGCCTTGAAAATTTCGGTACGTATCGCTCGATCGGTTTGGTTTCACGTTATTTCGTTACTTTATTAAAGAAATATATTTTTCAATAAAAAAGTAAATATACATATTGACCCAACGTGCTTCGTTCACCGGGACTGGATCACTCGCGCCTCATATTCCTTTTTCACTCTTTTCTTCCTACCCGCTGCTCAGTCTGTTCTGCACTCTGGCCTCTTTTCGTAAAAGGAACTTTGCCCGCTGGCTGCCTACTCTCGCCGTGCCAAAGCCATAATTGAGCTTTTGATGCTCGCTCTAATTTGTTCGGGATTCTGTACCACGTAGGTTAGCACGTAGAGGCTTCGGCATTTCTGGGCTTTTGTTAGCTGCTGTACTAACGCGAGATACCACGTTGCATATTATCCAATGAATGCGATAATGTACCTCGAGAATAACGTGTGTTCCCTCCCACCTGCAAAGCTTACCGCGGGTCTTGCTCCTTCCAGTAAGTCTCCGCCTGAATCTTGCCAAAGGGGCGAACACATATTCTCGTAATACCCCGTTGTATCAAGTATGGGAAATTGCTGTTAAATTACAATCATTAACTGAGATACCGTAACTCCCCGAATTGCTGGATAAATCGAACAAACTCGTTCGGTAATTGGACCGAGGATGCTTTCCGATTGCTTATTCACGTGTCTGCGAGTTCTGCGTCCACAGCAGTTGCAAGTGGCCAAATATTCTTTAATTATTCGGACTGTGTGAGTAGCCGACTAAAAATTACGACATTGACGTAATGAATATATCGTAAGGGAGATTTGAGGTGAACATTGACATAACCTCGATCCCATGTGCTCTGGCAACACGTGGGTATGTCAATAGTAATAATAAAGTAAAGTCGCTGCTGGTAGGTAGGCTGGAAAAACTTTTGTTAAAAATAAAACCAAAAAGTACAGTCACTACCCAAATAAGTTATTTTTAAGTCCGCTCCACGCTTACGCCCTACGTCTGAGCGCTCTTTGCCCTGTCAGTTCCCAGCGAAGTTCTGCGCGAGCAGTACAAAGGTCCGTTGGAACCCGACGAGCTGGACGTGGTCGACGAGTTTGAGGAGGGATTCGACAGGACGGACTTCCGGGCCGAATTCAGTCCGAGTCCCAACCTCGAGGGGCCTCAGCCCCAGCCGCGGGACAACGCCTCCAGGAGTAGTCCCACAGTCAGTTCCTCACCGCCGAAAGCCAGAACGAATAACGATGGTGAGTATAGAAGTCAACTTACCGATTTATCACTCTTTTTCCTCTCACTCTGTCTCTCTCTTACTTCACGTACCGGCTTTACTTATGGGTACTGTTGCTCACTTTATTACCCGTTAAAGTACGTGCCGCTCGATCTGCACTGACACAGTTGACTATCACAGCGTCACATAAATCGAAAACTCGGAAAAGAATCATAAAACGGGAACGACCAACGGCCCCCAGCCCCTTCTCCCCGTACCCCCGCCCCTTTCAAATATTTTACAAAAGCTTTGAATATACATGTACTTATGTATTTTCCAAAAGTTAAACGTTCACCCCCTACCCCGGACCACCTACCGAAACCAACAAGCCAGACCAACCTCGGGCTCCATTTTGCCCGGCCGCACTGACAGCCAACCCGACGATTACAGAGTCCAAAATGTGGCGACGTGTCGTCGCGTTTTGATATTAGTTTCCAATAGCGTAGAGACCAGGAACCAATCGTGTAGTCGGTCGACCAGCAGCAGCAGCAGCAGCTACAGTCTGCTCCCTTCTATCCCGTCTACCCAGTTCAGCCAGTTCAGCCTCGTCCAGTCGTCGATGCTCGAGCAGCAACATCAGCTGCCGGAAGAAGGACCGGCGGTCGATTTGATCTTCGCTAATAATTTTCAATATCTCGAAATAATTGTCGATCGAGCATATCGATAGGTCTTAATGAAGTTTGAATATTGGTTTATGGTCGATGCCATCGAACGGCCATTCGTCAATGCGATAGCCCAGCGGACTTCAGTCTCTCCCGACACTTCCCTCTCTCATTCTCATAGGCGCTTTGATGTTTGATTGGCTATTAACGCTGATTGCGTAACATCGCGCATCGACCATTGCCAATATAATTGCATGAAAATTCGTGAACCCGCGACAAGAATATTGGTCACTGTCAATATTTAGCCCAAGTGCTCCTTGTTGAGGCTGGGACGCGGAATCCCACTTCGTTATCAGCCGTGTAATCAATGAAGCAATTGGAATCTTGGCTCGGATTTGCGAAACGTTGAAATTCGCGAGTCAAGTAGCCGGGAGGAAGGTTTCGTATGGCGCGTAAGGCTGCTGCTCGAACAGCTCGCGAATAGGAATTTCTGGTTAACCAGGATTTCCGGAAGTTTGCCAGCTTTCGAACGGCGGGGCTTTGGTTTCCGTTTCCGGTACTGTCAAATAGGGCCGGAGCTCTAATGAATTCGTTGCGGGTCCAAGGCGGTGGTGCAGCGCGCGTAATAGGATATCCATCGGGTTGGAGAGAGTCGGACGTTAATGGACTCTTTGGGGGAATTAAATGATCCCATACTACTATCCCATGCTACTTTAATAGGAGCGAAGTTTATTTTACTTTAATAATAGGAGAGACGCCAGGAGGATTTGGGCTTAAAGGACTCTTCTCTTTATACCAGTGAAATGATGGGTTGGCATATAGCAGCGGAGCTCAACGCGGCTGCGTTATTGCAGTTATTAACGGACCGAGTTAGGACACGAGTTGAATGGGCGAATTGCTCGTAAAGTTTGCCCATTCTTTTGTGTCCAAATGAAAAGTTCATTCGGAATGGAGCAATTGAGTCGCCGAGATTTCGGAGCCGTTGTGAGATATGGGGCAGGCAGGGGTGCAAAAGATATTGATACCTTATTTTTTCTACCTTGCCTTTGGGTTTTAGGCTCGGAGTCTGGGTTAATCGCGCGTTCGTGTGTTCGGCCAGGTTATGGAAACGAGCCTTGAGATTCCGTTGGTAAATTTATTCGTTTAAAAGGAACCGAGGAAAGTCTTGAGTCAGAGGATTAAGTCAACTAACCGATAGGGGATGGTCGTCGCTATGGTTCCGGAAAGTTTTCCTTTATTTACGAGCAAATGGATTTAATCAAAACGAAGAGCTAATTAAATGTAATGGTTGCTACGGAGAAGAACGGTTACTGCTATTCTCGATATGAGATTCCCGGATATTCCAACTTTGAGTTTCGTGCCGTTTCTTCGATATATTTATATAGCTATATATAGAAGTCTATAGATATGTCCTTTCGTACCATTAACGACGAATTTCTATAAAGTCCCCCAATCGCCCTTCTCACTCGTCTTTCTTCTCTCCTCGTCCGATCATAATTTTTCGGTTTCTCCCAAACCCATAAAGGACGCCAGAAACCGAACTTTCCTTCTGCACTTCGAAAGTCCTCTGCGCTTCCGCCCACCACGCCCACCCGGCACGGATTGATCTCCAAAGGGAAGCATTAAGTCGAAGCGGCGACTTGGCTCGGTTTCGAAAACAATAGTTGTCTCAAATAAATATCTACAGAGAACGTCCATACTTTGTAAATGCTTTACAGCACTGCAGCGCCACTACCGCCTCTTTCATTTCCCGCTGTTTCCACTGACGCGAAAACATAAAATTTCGAAATATTCCAAATTCACACGAAGACTTTCCACTCCTCGGATCGTCACGGAGATAGACGTATTGGGGAGGAGTTGGTTATTTAAAAAACACCCGTAACACTTAAATTTCTTCCCACGGAACTTTCAGTCTCTCATAAAATTGCGAGAAAACTTATGACTCGTTAGGTACGATTCAGAGGATCCTGAGAATCGGCGAAAATTTCGAATGGTGGTAAAAAAACGAAGAAGCGGTATAGGGGTTGGTGG